TTGCGTCTTTTTAAACAGACACTGCTCTTCAGAGTGCAAGTAGCTAGAGTTGGATCTACCTCGATAGCCTGAGATGTACCAAGTCTTCCATTTGTAGTTTAGCACTTCACTTGTGGTTGGACTTTTTCATCTTCTGTGTTACAACTACTGGCAGTTAGTGAACTTGCACCTAAGTGGAAAACTGAGATTCAATTCACTCAGGAAATTACAGTAGCCACATCTCCCACATACCCCGGATATACTATTAAAACCATATTAGAGAAGAGATTACATAGGAGGTACAGTCTATTTGACCTATTAAAACTGAGTAGAGAAGAAAAATAAATATGAGAAACTAGCAATTCTAGAGAGAGCTTAAATAAAATCTTATGTGTAAAAGTAGGGGAGGATTCAAGCTAAGGAAGCAAACTGGACAGAAGTTGTGATATTATCACTCTCGTTTTTTCTCTAATGAAAATGGCTCTTTTGTGTTGAACTCAAGGCGTGCTGTATGCATAACATTGCCTCTGCACGCACCAAACTAATGAGACACTGCTGGGAACTTCGGGGATATTTCAAGTCTAAGCAATGAAGCATTGCTGAGAGGTATTCATTCAGCTACTTGCACAGTGACAATTTGGTGCACACATCTGCTTTGTTGCATGTGACTTTTTTGGGCTACCAAGAAGGCAATTCAGTTTCAAGTACTTGCAAACTAAGTAAGTCATTAGAGTATCTGTGTTTTTCTAAAATACTCTTTTTTAGAGCCCCAATATTTCCTATGTCTCATTTTAAGTTTCTAAGTAGAAAGAAGATAAATAGTCCTAGAATCAATGGTAGAAAATGGAAAATCCCTAAATATCAACACAGTTGTCTATTTTAGCTGCTAAAACAAGCAGTAGCTGTATGACCAAACTTGTAGGATCCTTCTGATGGGGAAAGGGTCCAGGTCATTTGTGAGATAGACATTTCATGTGTCTGAATGGGGTCTAGATCATTTACGTGAGATACAGTCTGTACAGTCTGTTGTGAGGGATCCTTTGTCAATTGTGGAGGTGGAAAATAGTACTTAAGAATTCCTGTATCTGTTCTGGTGTGGGGCTGCATTGGGGGATGGAGACAGAAAGGTATTTAGGTCTCAAGTTTCTCCCATAGCATAAAGATTTTTTTTTTCTTGTGCTACCATGATTTTAGTTTTCTTTCTTATATCTTCTGTCAAGAACAAGGAGAATAAATATAGCAGTCTTTCTTATATCTGTGAAAGGCATTATTGGACAAAAAAAATTGTAGTTCAGAAGGGATTTTAGTGTAAGAAGTGCTGAAATTCATTTCTGTGTAACTATGAATCATTGTGAGAAAGGGACCTTTAGTCTCCTGTAACTTAGAGTGAGCTACCACTGTGAGACACATGAAAAATTATTCAGACCTCATATCTTATTAAACTGAACTACTTCTGTTGCTCCTTGATTTTTAGAGCAGCTAATTCTGTAAAAGTTACAGGAAGCTATGTTCCTAGAATAATAAAAGTACCCAGAATGCACAGCCATAAAACAACATTGTCCTCTTGTCAGGGACTAAACAAGGTAAGAGTCATACAAAAGTCAAACCAAGTGTGTGCATCCTGTTTGCTAGACTTGTGCTTCATCAGGCTGCAAGAAGGGGGATTCCAAAGATGGGAATGTTCCTGTCCTATAAACAGACTCTCAGCCTGCAAATGATCACTTTATAACAAGTAGGCCTGATGTACTAGGACAAGGAGTAATGGTTTTAAACTAAAACAGGGTAGATTCAGACTAGAAAACGGAAGAATTTTTTTATGATGAGAGTGGTGAAACACTGGAAGAAGTTGTCCAGATAAGTGGTAGATGCCTCATCCCTGGAAACATTCAGAGTCATGCTGGATGGGGCTCTGAGCAACCTGATCTTGTTGAAGATGTCCCTGCTCATTGCAGGAGGGCTTTTACTAGGTGGCCTTTAAGGTACCTTCCAATCCAAAGTATTCTATGACTTTAATAAGAAAAGCAATCAAACCTAGATTGTCATTAACAACTAGTCTCCAGCTGAGTATGCGGTTGCATTAGCGTATGGAGTCAAACTGATGTACGTGCTACACACAATATGTGCCTATATGTTCAAAGCTTTCCTCTCAAGACCTAGTGAGTTCCATGAAGCCCTTCTTTCTCATTACCTTCATTAAATAAGTAAGTAATAAGGGTGATCCACGCAAAACAGGATCCCTGAGGCTAAAGCTCTCTGAAGACTATATTCATTCTTTGAAAACTATTCTGTCAGAAAATTCCCAATTCACTCTAGTTTTAATGTTTCAATAATTACAGTGGCTGGTTCAAAAACACAGAAAGCATTAGGAATAAATCCCACTTCATATGAGCTGTAGTCTGCAATGTGGAACTGTCTGTGGTTGGGATTTTTTTATACAGGATGTTGTCACTTCAATTGAATATACAGAAAATATGTTAGACGCAATCATATAGCTCATGCAAAATACCTGCACTAAGTGCATTGAAATCCATGGGCTGTTACTATTTCAGTGAATGCATGATCAGATTTAGAGTTGATTCACTTATGAAGCTTACTTGAATGTAAACCTTCAGGCAGGCATTTTTTTACCTAGATGTTTGTAAGAGCTTGACATTGTGGGATTTATTGAAAAAAAGAAGATTGATATCTATCATAATGCATCTATTTGTTGCTAATATGACTACTGCTTTTACATGTATGTTTGTATTTTACCCTGTAACATCTAGAGATTCCTTATCCTTTTTATCATTTAACATTTAACCATGAGAGAAGGACCAGACTAAAAGCGTGGGTGCTTGATAATGACTTAAAAATATATATTTATACACCAGGCATTATTACAGATTCCATGGGTGAGCCTCATCTAGCCACTTAACTGGCGTGAGTTGGATTTTAAAAATGGTAAGGCTTCCGAAAAAGATTTTTTTATGCTTAAGGGAATTTTCATGTGCAGGACAGTTTGTTAAAGATATTACCTGCATTGACTTCAGTTTTGAAAATCCTATTCCAAAATAAATGCATCTTTAAGAACCACAATATTTTTGCTTTTGGACACCACTTAATGCAGCACTTAACTTAAAAGCCACTGTTGCACCAGTTTAATTGGAGATCAGCCAATTTAGTTAAGAGAGAAATGGATACATTGTTGGTGCTATTTGCATGTGTATGGGCATCTGCACAGAGGTCCTTCCACAAAGGTCTGAAAAAACTGCTTATTAATGTAACCTTGTGAAGTTTCCATGCACAATGTAGGTAAAGCTCTGCTTTCAGGTACACCGCTGTCATTCTGGAGATTCAAAGGAATGGTATTATTCCACTGGTGTAACAAAAGACTGTATGGTATATATTTCCTGATGCGTTATCTTGATGTATTATTGCAATGAAGGAAGATGTTGGTTCCTCAGCAAAATAAGAAGACAATTGTGATTGTCTTTTCAGTCCGGTGCCATCCTTGAAAGCAAATTCATCTGCTCACAAATTTTGGAGCCGTCAGTCTTTCCTTAACAGTCAGATTAGGCTTTCCCTCATTTTATAGTAATATTTGGCCATTTTTATTTACAATTACAAAGATACTTTGCAAGGCAATTTAAAATGAGACTCCATGCTTCCAAAATATGTTTGTCATATTTCTTACCTAACATCGCTCTGAGAGCACAGTTTATTTGTTATCTCAAAGGATAAAGTGTCTAATGGAAAAAATTTGTAAGCTGAAAGACATTAAAAATGTTCAAATAAAATAGTTACTGCACACCAGTTTCTTATATCTGTACTTTCCTGTCAAGGGCCAAGTTACCCAAGGGCACTTAATAAAAACAAATGATCTGAAGCTGACATTGCAGACTGACTTACTACCTTATCTCCAGGTTAATATCATAGCATTGGCCAGCGCTTAAAATCATGTCTGACAACAATGTCAGTGAATCTTATGTCAAGGCAATGAGCAGATTTTACTTCAGTATCTTTTTCAGCCTGACATGACTACTTAGTTTAGGAAATCTCACAGAACTGCAAAGTGAAATTGTTGTCTCACAAAATGTCTAATAAAATATAATTTACTAAGAAAAAATAAATGTTGAGCGGAAGTACAATTAGTTTTTCTAATATACTATCTGAATGCTTCTCTTTGCTTTTCTTATGGAATAATCACCGCCATTTTTTTCTATGGGACCATGGAAGTCTGAAGTTTGGTTTTGTTTCTGGTTGTTTTTTTTGGTGGGTGTTGTTTTTTGTTTTTGTTTGGGTTTTTTTTTGTAGGTCATAACAAACAATAGACAGACTCACTCATTAATGTCAGATTTTCCTCCTTATTTATAGGGGACTAATCAGATGTCATGATTCCCTGATTTTCTGATGTCTTAGTAAAGATTGTGATGCATTATTATATTTATGGTGTGACAACAGAGCATTGTAACTAGAATTCAACAGTAATGTGGAAATGTTAAAAGAAAAATCCCAACAAACTCAAGAATGTTCAAGCTATAAAGAACTAATTTTTTCTTTTCCAATCTTGAAACTCAAAGAGTATGTCAAAGTTTTGATTAGATTCTACATTATGCCTGCTACTGGTTGAGCCATGCTGCACACACTACTGAATCATCACGTGGCATATTGCTGTAAAGACTTCTGTGTATTCAGGTAGATGATACAAGACTAACCCCATTGTCTCACCATTTTTTCCTGTACAGACTTATTTGTTTCTTTTTGGAAAAATGTGATTGCTGCAGAACCTTGACTACTTATATGAGAATGAAGTTTAGTAACTATTACGCTGTTTCTACCTCCTAATATTAAGGTTAAATAAACAACATGAAACAGTCTTACTTCATCATAATTAAAGGCAATTAAAGAGTCCTTCTAATGTATGTACAGAAGAGTGTTATTAGTTTCCTTTCCTCCTAGTATTTTTAATGACTGTATTTTCCTCCTTATTTAAACCAATGTAACAATAATTTTTTTATTTTATTGTTTCTTTCCTTCCCCAGATGTACATCCAGACCACAACACTTACTGTCTCCATGAGTTTAAGTGCTTCTGTGTCTCTGGGCATGCTCTACATGCCCAAGGTTTATATTATCATTTTTCATCCAGAGCAGAATGTTCAAAAACGGAAGCGGAGCTTCAAGGCTGTGGTGACAGCTGCCACAATGCAAAGCAAATTGACCCAAAAAGGAAATGACAGACCAAATGGCGAGGTCAAAACTGAACTGTGTGAAAGTCTTGAAACCAACAGTAAGTCATCTGTAGACTTTCCCATGGTCAAGAGTGGCAGCACTTCTTAATAGATGTACGTTCATAAGAATGCACTTTCATTTAGTAATAAACTTTATTCTTTTTGTAATTTGTTCTGCATGAATCCAGAGATGTGTCAGAATTCATGTACTGCTGAATGAAGGAATGCCTAGAGTTGTTTCAAACTGTTTTTCACAGGAGGCTATTAAAAACAAAAAGCACAAGCAGATTTTGGAAAGCCACATCTTTTTAAACTGAACTGTTTTAGTTAGTGCTAATTTGATGTGTTGTGCATTGCTGTGCCAGTCGTGGTATGTCCTGACAGTTCATGAGGTGTATTTATGGTCATCATTGTATACTCAAAACTCAAAGGCTGCTGAAAAAACAAAAAAAAATTAAAACATTTAACATTGTTTTTATTTTGCAGATAGATATGGAGTTGAAAATAATGCTTTTAACCTTTTCACCTTAATATTTGTTGACTTGTTCATTTATCACAACTCATGAGTACTGCTTCGCAGACTAATGTTTCCCATCCAGCTTTTTGTTGTGGTCTTATTCATCTTGGTACAAATTCGTGGCAATTCATATACAGCTTAATCATTACATGTTCTGCTATGTCTTGCATTAGCAATGGGAAAAAAATCTTTCCCATATCAGAAAAGTTCTTGAATCTTGCCACAACTCTAAATTGGTTGGGTATAGAAGAAAATAGATTATAGCTTCCAGAAGAAAACAGGTTATAGCTTCCATTCCACCACGTGACATATAGTCTTATAAACTAGACTTCACAATAAGAATAATCAAACATAAGTAGAACAAGTAGCTTTACCCCAGAGCTTACTATGCTAGTAAGTAGGTAGTAATAGAGAATTGGTTTCTGCTGAGTAGTTACAGGTCACATGGAATGGACAGCAGCTGTCTCAGGTAAAGATAAATTTTTCAGTCATTTTACTGCAAATGATGGGTCTTTTTAATTTTTTTTATTACTTTTTGATTATATTGGCAGAAGATTGAATAGTACCATTTTGCCTGAACACATTCAGACAACTCAATACCAGGTTTGCAGAAAAATATTGTGCTTACTTCAGAAAAACGCAACCCCCCACTGAATTCATTCAGAGTGTGCCAGATTGAAGAGTATATAAAAACAGTCTGTAAGTTTACCATACTATAGTTGCTGATGCACAGAACATACTGAGTGCAAACCAATTCACTTGAAAAACTCATGACCCTTCAAAACATGTAGATCTCTTAGATTGAGCTGTGGGTTTGTACAGATTCAGATTATGACATATAACAAAGTACAAAAAGACACAGGCAATGAAATTCCTTGTGGATCAAATAATATTATGGAAATATGGACAACTCAATAATTTCTCAACTCTTCAGAAGTCACTAAAAGAAAATTCAGAAGGGAGATTTTGCTGAGTGTGCAAAATTATAAACTTCTGAGGAAAGCTCAAAGAAGGGATCCCACAGTAGGGCAAGAAAGTGTGTTAATAAGAAAATCTTGGTTATCTGATGTTTATCTACTGTACCTAATTAAGAAATTCTGTGCCTGGTGTTCCTTAAATTATGATTATGCATTATTCATGGAAACAGCTGCTAGTGGAAGCAAGTCTGCTTCTCCAGTAGTGTGATGTATGCAGGGTGATTCTTATTCACTGTGCTCTAAACATGATTTTAACAGTAGTACATTTATATAGTTCTGAGCTCACTAGGAGTATATTCTGACTAGGCTTTGATCCAGATATCATAATGCTTCACAGGCAAAAAATTCAGAGCCAAATCATTTGCACTCCAGAGACCTGTCCCTATATAACTGAGCTCTTGGCCTCAAGATGGGTTTCTCTCTTCCCCAAAATTGTTCTGTACCATTTGGATTGGATCAGCTTCCCTCTTTTCTGCCAAAATAGTTATTGCCAAAACTTTTGGAGGTTCCTGTGAATTTTCAGGGCACAATGCCATATTACTCCTTTTACTAAGTCAATAGTAACAGCCTCTCAACACTGCAAAATTTATTCTTGCTCTGACTCCATGTGAGGTAGATCTTTCTTGTCAGTGATAGTGTATGAAGCTGATCACAAAAAAATCACGCTATTCCTAGGATAACAGAACTGAGTAGTGTTTTCCACCATTTCCCAAGCACAAATACTGGTAGTGACAACAAGGTTCACAACTAGGTAAGAAGTAAGATGAGACAGTCAGGTAATTCCTTTTGCTTCCCATCCAGAGACAACTCTGATCTGTCTGGCTTGTCCTCTTCCATGTAAGAGACTTTACTCCATGTTGTCCTCCATGTGAATACAGTAATGTTTTTTGTTGGGTTTTTTTGTGGAAATACATTCATATTCAGTGGAAAAGAAATTGTATCTGGGAAACAGTATGAAAAAAAAAAACAATCCAGATACAATTACAGAAGGCATAACAATGACAAGTACTTTAAATGCATATAGGTCAGATCACAATAATCATTCTAAATTGTTTTAGATCCTCTTTTATTTTGTTCTTTTTCGTTTTGTTTCATTCCAACGGCAATGTAGTAACTGGAGCTAGAAAAGAGTGCTCATTCCCAAAAACATTTGGAGCCAAGTCTGTTACTTTTCTGGCCTTCTATGCTTGCCAAATGGAGTTCATGTCATTACTATGAAATGCTAACAGTCTTAAAGAGCAGAGCACCAGCTGCTGAAGCTTTCACATTCCCAAACAGGAACTGTTGACTTATTACTGTGAACTATAAAGACACTTGCAATATTTATCAAGTAAACAAACATGGCTTGGAGATTTAATATATTTTGAACCACAACCTGCACTAGGTTCCTGTGCTATCATTTTCTAAAGCAGCAACCCTTAGAACTCAGTAGGCTAATTTTTTTTTCTTGATCAGTCCTAGATTAATTCTGACAAAGCTATTTAAGTGTCAGATATGCAACAGTTACAGCAAATTAATAAGTTACCCTAAATCAGCTGAGGTGTAGTAACTACTTATTGTTGTATTTTGAGCTTCTTGCAAATGCCCTCACATAATTCAGCTTACTGAGCTGTGGTAAATCTGATTATGTTACATCGCTGCGGGCTAAAAACATACACATGGAAAGTTATAGAATTCAGCTGATACAGGGTAATGCAGTAAGCTAGCTTAACCTGATCACATATTTGAGCCTATTTTCAGGGTGAGGGGAAAAAATAAGCTCTGCTCCCTCTGTCCTTTTGTTCCCAAGTGTGCAGAGTTTGCAGATGTGCATTTATTTATTTCTTAGCTGGGAAAAAAAATCCTTTCATGGTCTAAGTAACTTTGTGCCATTTCAGCAGTTCTGAATTATTTTCATAAGGAACTTAAAGGGCCAAAGGAAAAATAGAATTCTCTCAGAATTCCAGCTGTGGGAGCATGGGAGAGTTCAGATGGGAGCAGTGCATCCCATCTGAAAGATCTGAAAGATGTAAATGAGGCTATATTTGCTTCAAGTGTCCCAAATACTATTTCACGTTGGTGCTTGAATAGTGTGATCGATTATGTGAAAGACTTGCTTAATGTGCCAAAAGCAATCCTTTCATGAATTAACTCTTCTAGACACAGAGTACTGGAGCTACCTGTGCAATTTGATGTAAGACACATTATGTTTTGCAGCTCCCTTTTAGTTATTAATTTTCATATATATAAAATCTTAGGGAACCAAAATTTTAGCAATATGTGAATTATAACAGTCTAGTTCTGTTGTATCTTACAAAATGGCAAATGTAATGTTAGAATCAATTGCTCAGAAATCCAAAGAAAACATCAAGAAAAAGTAACAGCAAACTTATTTATACTGTCTAGTATTATTTTGCAGCAAGTTTAGTGATCTTTGAGTAAGTTTAATCTTTGGTATCAGAGAAAAATCATCACTTTTGGTTTCTGTAGTCTGTTCTTCCCGAATCATTGGCTTGTTGGCCTGGATGTAGGAGTTAACATGAAGAATCCTCTTCCTATCTAGCTCAGCTGTTCCTACTGGATTCTGTAGAGGGAAAAAAAAATGAAAGAAGGAAGGAAGGTATAGAAATAGAACTAAGATCTTTGAATCTATAGACCAGACAACATTTGTACCATCTAATTATTTTCATCCTGCCAGCTGCAGTCTTCCCTATCATAAGAAGAACATGCCTGCAGCAGATGGATTATAAAACATTTTTGAGAAGCCAAATTCCTCCTCATGCAGTGTGACATAGATCTTATTATAGAGACAAAAAAGAGGCTCAGTCCCTCAGCAGACTGATTTGGAATGTACCCAACAGGTTTAAATTTAGGGAGCTGCCTGTGAGACCTGTTGTCACCAATTCCTTCTTCCCACCACTACCTTTACAGAACAATGGAGACTTGGACATATTTTTTACAGCAAAAGCATAAGACATAGAGGCTAAAAGCTGACACAGACTTTCACATAAGAATCACAGTTGTTTAACTTTTTCAACGTATTGCCTCATTCTGGACGAGTGGTATCAGCTTTGCTCAAAGACACACATGATCAGCCAACCATCAACATAAGGAGACCATAACAGCATAGCAGCCTAGGCTCTCAGAAGCATTTTTGCTGGCTCACTTATATTCAGAGGCTTTGTGTCTGAAGGCTCTCCAGAGAATATTTGCTGTAGACACCAGTTAATTTTGCTAACTTGGAGAAATGTTTCCCGTTAGACTTTGCTCCTTTCAAGCAGTATAAACCTCCTTCTAGACTGATAGCCCAGCACTAGCTGCAAAGCTGTCTTCAACCTGTAGGAGAGAGAGAAAAATACAAATTCTAAATTAAAAAAATTTTATACAGAAATCAGCTGAAATAAGACCAGACAAATAATATGTTGAAATTCTGTTATGAATATGCTAAAACCACTCTATTGACCTCTGCTTCCCCAAGTCATAAATAAAATCTTATCATCAAGAACAGAGAACTTAAGATGCAACTCATCGCTTACGTAGATGCTTTGACTTTCTTCCTTTATACCATGAACATGGGCCATCTTATTTGGCAATAGAGCTGGACACTGAGTTCAAATGCTAAATATAGTTTTCTTTTTCTCCTCTCTTAATTCTGAAAATCCTGAACTTTTTTTGTTGTTGTTGTTTTCTTTTTTGTTTTATTTTGATTTACAGCCTCCTCTACCAAGACAACTTATGTCAGTTACAGCAATCAGGCAAACTGAGCAGGGATGAAATTCACTGGAAGACCTGCAGGATGGAATCTTGCAAACATAGACCTTACCACCACCAGAATTCAGTCTTGGAAATAACAGTAGACTACATTCAAATCAATAGTCAGTCTTGTAAAGGACAAGGATTAAACAAGAGCAAAAAGGCAAAAAGAGACAGGGGAAGGAAAAATTCAGTTTTATAACTTAGAGACAGCGTCAAGCTTCTGAACTGTTCACTCACAAAAGGAAATAAATCACAAAAGGAAAACAAATGTTAGCTTGTGAAAAAAAAATGCTGTTGAAATAAATCATGTCTGATGTTATATTTGTAAGTACTTTTTTGTGATTGTGACAATTTCCTTTCCTGTCCTACATTGTTCAACTCGTAAAAGAAGATGAGTTTGTTTCTTGTGGTGGCTGACTGAACTAAGTCCTGGGTTATGCTAAAATAAATGCAATGGTCAACGCATGCTAATTTTTATACAAAATAATTTATTTCTAATAATAAAGGAATGTTTTGCAAATGTTGAGACTTGTTTTGTTGCAGTTTTAAGAAAAAAAGTCTTTACACTGTTGTCTATTGTTTGTTTAGAATGTGCAGTAAAGGTGGGTGTACAAATAAAATAATAATCATGGCATCAGAAGAATGCAGTGTAAACTCTAAGCATGTGTGTTTGTGTGTGTGTACATGTGCACGCGTGTGTGTATGTATGTGCATGCCTGTATGCATGCGTGTGTGTGTACTCTGCAGCGTGTGAATATATTTGTCCAAAGCTTTGTGACTATATTTTCTAATGGAAGGGTTTTTTCCCCCTTCTATCTCTCAAAGCAAGTGCATTTTACATGTCTGTAAAGTGAAGGAGTCCTGATGGTAAATATTTTGTATAATTGTATTATATTTTGAACCTCCACTAACAATTCTGATCCTTTTCATTTCTGGAACTTACAGTTTGTAAGACTTCATGACAGCTAGACTGGATTAAGCTGAAGGTCTATTCAGCCTAATATCCTGTCTCTGACAGAGGAATGTAGCAGATGTTTATCTCAATAAAGGTGACTTTGAAATAACAGGAGAGAAATCAATGGAGAATTCGGAAAGCAAAAACTTAGTGGATATATTTAGTATTGCCTTAGTAACACAAATCAAAGAAATAGATGTCCATATACAATCTTCACATATTCTAACTTCCGTGTCAAATGACTGTGTGTGTGTTAGACATGATCATGCAAAGAGAAAGAGAAATTCATACAGATATCTATCATGTTAATAACACCCTCCAAAGAAGTTTAGAAAAGACAGCTAGGGACTTTCCACTTTGTTGGTATACCTGTGATGTTCTTTAAGACTTTTTGAGTCCATATGCTACGTACTATTCATCAAGTCAATGGGTCTTCCCAATCTGTTGGTTATTAAATGTTATTTTTCCTGAATTTGCCTGAATGGCTCCTTGTAATTTTTCCTCAAAGCAGCTGTATTTTTATAACGTATCTTAAAGAAGTTGTGGTGGGTCCTGAATTACATGGATGAAAGTTGAAGTTACAATGTCAATGTTTAAACTCCAGAACAGTCTGGAGTTTATTGTTTGGACTATGCCGCAAGCACATCAATCAGAAAACTATAAACTAATACATGATTAATTTTAAGCATGTGAGTAATGCAACTAATGCAGTGAGACCTGCAAAAGAAAATGTCATAAAAATAGGTTTAGTTCTGTTTTATTATTTAATATCTCATCAAATTGAAGTTTTTTGTGAAACTGTATTGATTAGATCAATGTTTTAACACGGCAGACTTCCACATCTAGGATGGATTTCCTAGGAGACAAAGAGAGAATCTGTTTTATCTTAAAACTCAATGTTTTAGCATGGTTTATTTTCAAGAAACCTTTGAAAATCTTAGTTTCCAATCCACAGCAAAAAAAGTTTCAAACATTTTGTCTGTAATAGCTATACATAAGAACATAAAAATATACATTTGAAAAAGCACTACATAAGAATTACCTTTAAAACATGTTTCATATACACATAAACATATTTTATATACACATAAAGATTACTATATGATATATGAATAGCTTCCAGTTTCACAGTAGTCCAAAGAAAATGTTATTCTGAACAGATTTACAGAGACCAATATACGCTTCTTTTGATTGAACAGTAGAGTAAAAATAGAATGCAAATTATTCTCTGCATTTTCTGTGTCATTCTGTCTGAATCATGGAGTATATTAAGCCTAGAAGTCTCACTGGTGTTAATGTAACTTAGCAGATAAATGAGCACACAGTATGAATTACTGAACGAACTAGGTGTTTTCAAAATACAGCAGAACAGCACTGATTTACAGATTTCAGTTCTATCGAGTAGTTACGTGCAGCTTATTTATCTGCATAGAAAGGTGCATATTTGTCTCCTGTAGCTGTGATCAAAACCACATTCTTCTCTTATATCGCTCTAGAGTTATGGAAGAAAAATGCATTTTATTTCTGAATGAAATATTGACTTTGTCCTCTTCAACTTAGGAGACTTTTTCCTGTACAGACAGTAGCAGTTCCAAAGATTTTTTTTTTGTAGCAATCTGATTTTTGAGTTCTGCATCCAAGACTGTGTCTTTAGGTGAGTCTAAGTCCCATTCATGCAATAGACTCTGCATCAGCTCTATAAGCCCTAGGTGACCTAAATTTTGTGACCTCACCTAAGCCCTACTTAGGGGACTATTGATTAGGTGACTGCAGTCTACAGCTTCTAAGCAAGACTGGTGTACCTTTTTCAGCATCGTCATTGGACACAAAACAGTTCAGACAAAAGAATTAAATATTTTTCAATGATTGATTTTAATTAGGTTAAGAGTGATCTTATTTTCAGCTTATTGAAGCTCTATCTCCAGTTTACCTACTGTAATAAAACCCAACTTCCTAAAAAAGAATTACTATAAAGAAAGAACCAGAGAATTGTATCATACAAAGTCAGGAAAAATTGCTATATTTTTGCAACATGAGTGTGAAAAAGGACAAAATTTAGAAAAATTACTTCCATCATTCTTTACTTTCTATATTACAAGGTCCATTTTCATAGGATGATTGAGGGAACTCATCAATAAGAAGAGAAATCCCCACAGAGTCTGTTATTATTGTGCCTTTGAATACTCACATAGCTGCTGCATTTTACTTCTCTCACTATGAAATAGCTATCACTTAATCTTTCCATACAGATAACCCACTTTTGTAATTTTGGTTGGTTGATTGGTTGCTTTTTTAACAAACTCTGTTTCTACCTTGTTCTACTGTTCATCGTATAACACTGACATTCATGACACTACAACATTTCCATTACGAACAATATTATCTAACACATAGAAAGATTGTGCAGGTTGAAACTTGGCATGTATTAATGTATATGCAAAATAATGCAAATGAAAAAAATTATTTAGCCAAGCTAAAATGGAAAGCTTACAAATAAAATGAAGTTCTGAGGCAAATGTAATCAGAAGGTAGCAACAATTTTAAACCCGAAATGTTTAGTATCCGTTTTCATATACCTTTTCACTTTCTTTTTCCTCAAATTATATTTTGAGGGCCTGCGGCCCTAGTGTAAAAACCATTCAAGTTAATGAGGGTCTTACCTTTAATTTAGTAGATTTGAGATCAAGCATCAGATGATTTATCATTAAATTAAACTGTAGCTTTTTAAACTATTGGCTTTGAATAAACGATTGCCACTGAAAGCTACATTACTTATATATCCATTTTAAACTATATTTTAATTGATAATTATAACCTGTAAAATGCTTTATGCATACAAGTCATTCTCGTGTATAAATCACTTGTGTTTATATAAAATGTGTTCAACTTAGGTTTTATGAATTAAGTAGTGTTATAAGACTGCTAAGCTAGATCTTCTGTCGGCCTGAATCTGAGACACGGAGCACTTCTATATGGCCTGGTCTTCCCTAGTATCTGAAAGTACACAACAACTAGAGCTACTGAGGATCATTTTAACCTGATCTACAGCAATGACTGCTGAAGGAAAAAGCATCAAATGGGGAAATCATAAGAGGAATATAAACTATGATAGATAACTCTCTTTAGGACTGATTGAATTTAAACACTGTGGTACCTAAAAGTGTCTAGATCTTGGAGTTTTCCATTCATAAAGAAAGAATGAATGAAGGTCTTGAACCAACCTGCAACTTTACTTCGGCAGACATTCACTGCTCCCCTTCACGAGTGTGAGCAGTTAATTGTACTAAAATTAAAACGCCTACAGACCAAAGCCTGGGTTGGTGCCTCTAGCTTGCAGAGAGGTGACAGGGTGAGATCCACTGTCGATGGCACTGTCTTCTAATAGAGAATCTATCCCAACACATAAATCTAGTGCAAACCAGTTTTAGTATATTTTGGCAAGATTTACTCTCTCCTAACAATCATATACTTCCACAGACCCCGAAGATATACTGTATGATATAGATTTGATCCCAAGCCAAGAGAAGTTCACTGGAGTCTAACTTAGTGAGAACCACCCAGAAGGGCTGGATGATTCTACTTTATTTCTAGTCCAGACTGTAACCTGAAAACTTTCAATGACTTATAAATCAGATGAAAAACACGCAAGGCCAAAATGCATTCCAATCTACATTTTATCTAGAAGAAACTACCATTGTTATGAATGAGGTCCCAGTGGCAAGACCAAAAGATGTATGCCAGAAGGACAGTGAATAAAGCATCATACTAATGAAAGCCTGCAAGGTATGGCTTATGCATGTTAGTGAGATAGTGTCTGAAAATGATATTATCCAAGTTTTGTTAAACAAGCAATTTGTCTCAAGTATTCTCAGTCCACACAAATTTCACAGTAAATCAGTAACTGAGATCTTGAAGTTTAATAACTAGACTTTCGTGTAGACACAGTAACATTTTTTTTTTCGTCTAACATTATAAAAAGTATTTATTGCACAAGCTTAGGGTTTAGTTCTGATCACAAAGAAGCAGACTATAGTTTTAAAATTGTGATTACTG